TTTTTATTTTAAGTTTTTGCTTTTGAGAAACAGAAGAAGGAAAAAAAAGACCTTGTAGCTTCCATGTATAAATTTTCAAGTGAAGTGAAGGAACTACAAAATATGTATAATTTTGGTGACACAAGTCAACACGATACAGGGCGACCGAACGAAACATCGTTAGCAGAAAATCTGGATCATTTGGGGGGGGCACGGGATTTTTTGCATAATATTGAAGATGAAATGAGACCTCATGAGCGCCAAGGAGTTAATACCGGAACCACAGCTACTGCGCATGGTCTTCCTCACGCCTCCGCCTTTGCTCCGGAATTCTCACCACAGTCGAACCTTGATGATCCCCGGGAATCTTCAACGACAGCAACGGCTTCAGGGGGCCGGAAGGAAAAACACAAGGATAACAGTAAAATTCAGATTGCAAAAGAAGTTCTTGGGCTTAATAAGAAGGATACTTCCGGGATGTCACCTGAAGAAAAAGAGCGTGTATTACTCGAGGAAAGGTGGAAAAGAGCTATGGCAGAGGAGAATCGTTTGAATGTGCTTGAAGAAAGAGTAAAAAGCCGTGAGCAAGAGACTGCAGCCGCCGATCTTCTTCCTAACTTCCCTCCAAAGATTTTGTGCATAAAACCACTTGTGCACCATGACCTTCAACGGGTTCCAGAGATAAGAAGAAAATTTGTCAGGCTGAATTTTATTAATTGGATTGTAACTTGTGTTTTGCTTCTGCTCAATATGATCGTTGCTATTGCCGTGGTGGCCGCACCGTATAAAAAGGATGCAAAAAAAATATTTAAGCCTGCTCAAAATTCTGTATTAGCAATTGTGTATCTGCTAGGAGCGCCTTTAAGTTTTATTGTCTGGTATTGGCAGATATATTCTGCATGTTCCACAGGACGCCAAACGAAACATATATTGAGTCTTTGCGGGTTGATTATAGCTCTTGCCTTTGTCATTTTTATGGTTGTTGGTCGCTCAAATTATGCTGCATGTGGAGTAGATCTTACACTAGACATATCTGAAACGAAAAACAAGCTCCTTGTCGTGCCTGTCATCATTGTTCTTGGCTGTTGGGTAACAGAAGGGGTTTGGCTCTGTTACTGTATCGTAAGACAATGGATGTACTATCGTTTAGATGCGAACGCACAAGAAGAAGTGAGGCGCCAGATGCATAATGTGATAGGAGGGTAATAAAAGGGAGAACCCTTTTTTGTACGCTCATTTTTTCCCTTGGATTCCCTTTTTGGAGGTGTGGTAGTAACTTTATAAAGGGGTTTGAAGTGTGCAGCAATTGTAGAAAACTACGGG